GAGTAAGACATCCAGTCTTACAGCGCCTGACAGCGCCTGCCAGAGCTCTCTCTGAAAGGGATTTGGGGTGAAGGCAGTGGCTCTCGGCTGTCCGTCGGCAGACAGACAAGTCGAGGTGCTCTGGCTGGGGGCGGCTGCCCATGCTTAGGGGCAGCGTCCTGTGCCAGCAGTTTTGCAGGTGTGGCTGCTTGCGCCCATCGGAGCCATCGCGTCCAGCCGTGCCGCGCGAGCTGACTCCTGCTGACGGTCTTGGTTCTTGACAATCGGATGGGCCACGGAGAGCCCTGCCCCGGGCAAGAAGGTCCCTCGGGGCGGGGGGGGGCAGCCGAGCGAAGTCTGTAGATCCTGACCCTGAGCCTCGGGGTCTGCAGTCCGCCAGGAGCTGCTTGGGGAACCCATGGCTGGTTTGCTCCTGCAGAGAATAGGTGTTGCACACTTCTAAACACACAAGGAACCAGTTCTTTTCATCCCTTTGGGGCATGAAACAATTACTTCACTCAGGTCAAGTCAGAGACCATAGAAATTAATTTTGCACATGTTACAAGGGAGGTTGAAGCAGGTTCAATTTTACTCCTCTGAGAAAGATTTATGTTTAATTTTCATAGCAACATTTTGTGTTATGATAATAGATCATGTGTTTATACATGAAAGTATGTGTTTAGTAGTGCTTGCTCTTTTTTATCTAGGCCTTTTTTAACTTAATCTGATAAAATGGAGTTGAATTTGTATGTTCTATTGGACAATTCATTTCCACTTGTGTTTTAATCCTATAAGTGACTCAACCAGGATAAAGCCTTGCTGAAATTACCTGTTGCTCCTCCACTTTTTTTCATATTAATTGTTTAAGATGGCACAGATTTTAACTTCTCATTCTGCCAAACAAGAAGAGAGAAGGTCAAATGAGGCAAAAACCATCTCAAACATCGGGTTCATTACTGGTTTTGGTAGAGGCATACCATTAATTAATTTTTATTCATTTGATCTAGGAAATTTTCTTTAACATGTTGGAATTTCAAAAGCTGGAAAAGCTGGAGTTTAGTGGAATCGAGGGGAAAATTTTAAGCGAGTAGGTCTGCAGAATGGATGAAGAGTTTCTGGAAAGCTGCAAAGTTTTCAGGAAGAGAACATGCGATCCTTCAGATTACAGTACTATGGTAATATTGCATCCTGCACATAGGCATTTGTGCTATTATTTCCTTGTTTATTTAAAAGTATCTGTGAACTTGGAGGCTGTGAAACTGAGAGTTTCATAGTGCTGAATGGAACAAGGCATGAGATAGATAGGCTTTCAACACAGCTGGGTTCAGTGTCTACCACTTCTTCTTCAAACCAGAAATTAATTTTCTTAAGAAAAGATTTCTGGATGCTTTCTCCTGATCAGATGGCTGAATTATTTAGAAGTGCCACATGTGGAGAAGCATTCAGATGGCTCTCGCCACAGAATTCGAGTGAATAAAATAGATTTAAGTGAATAAAATAAATTTGGATAAAGTGAAACAAAATCCCCCACCAACATTGCCCAAAATTAAAAAAAGAAAAAAAGTTAATTATTGACATACAACATACAGAACTGACAGCCAGTTCTGTGAGCTTTTTCCCCTGAGTGTTAGGATGTAATTTATTTACACCAGAACTGTATATAATAAATCAGTTGATTCTACTTGAAAGATAGAGAAGGTTTTTAAAATGTTGCTATTTAGCAATGTCTTGCAGGAATAGCTAAAATAATTCCTGACAGTGTGCTCACTAATCGCCATGGTACGTATATCTGATATATCAGAAAGAATGTTTATTACCGTTCTTTTCATAGATGTTGGTTGTGCGGTGTTTTTGGTAATTTTCCAGACTTTGGTGTTGATTAACAGCTATAAGCATCTGGAAATTTGGAAAATGGTGTTTTCTGAAGGATTTAATCCACTTTTAACGCAAATTCAAATACAGAAATACCCTGTCATGTTACGTAGCTGGCTTCGCTGCCCGCTGGCTAGCGCTCTCGGCTGCCTTCAGAGCGGGCTCTGGTCCCAGGGCGCGGGATGCTTTCGGCGTTTAGGCTGGGCAGCCCCGCGCAGCGGGGAGAGCAGAGCTGCCCGGTGAGTGCCCCAAGCACCTGGGCTGCTCTGGCGGCTTGCTGCTCCGCCTGGCACGGCTGCCAGAACGGCAGCCAAATTCGCGCTCTCCTTCCTTTTTGCCCTACAGCTTTGTGGAGCAGGGCACTGCCTTTGAGAGCGGGGAGGTATTGATTAAATCCCTCTCGAAGCGAGGAGGCTGGTGAACCCAGGTCTGCGCCCTCGCAGGTGTGTGCCCCAGCCAGGGGAGGCAAGGCAGCAGCTGGGGGGGAGATGAGGCAGCCCCAGCACCAGCTGCAGATTTAATGGGTCCCCTGCGATGACTCTCTTCTGTGCCATCCTGATCCGAAAGATCACCATCACAAGCGGGATTCAATCAACGCAAATAAGCTACAGTAAAAACATACCTTTTCTAATCTGTTTCCTGACTGAACTTCAGTTAAATGAAATTATTCTTCTCTATCGGATGACTGATTTTTTTTTTTTTTTTTTTTTTTTTTTCTTACCCCCCCCCATTCCTCCCCCAAAATCTTCAGGCCAGCTGATTCTCCTAGCGATGTCCCTGCCATTTCCCCGTGCTCCTGACACCTCTGTACCCACAAGTCGTACTGGGTTTGCACAGGTGCAGACAATGAGGAGATGTGTGGGTATAAGCTTTGCTGGCATTTAGGAGCTTGGACTTGCTGTGTGGTATTTTTGGCAGTGCAATAGGAGAGAGAGTCCTGTGTGTGAAATGAATACATATTTTGGATAAGGTGTTATTTTAACAGGCAAATTTCCTGAAACAGACCTAACAGAAATCTTAAAGTTATTATTATTAAAATAATTTATATTTTTAATAATAATATATTAATGAAATATAGAAATTTACTGTTCTGTTAGATGTGGTAGGAAATGTATTCTATGTGTCTGCGCACTGATTTTTCTTGCAAATATGTGGCTTAATCTAGGTAATTAAAAACCCAGAACAATGGTCGTAAACCAGATTTGAACTCAATGAATGGCACAAGGTCAATTCATGCAGAAGTCTTGCAAAGTTGTTAATGTCTTTGGGGTAAAATCCTGGAACTGCTTTAAAATCCCTAGCAAAGCTTCCCGTGTCTTAAGGTCAGGACTCGCTATACTGTACTACTAAATTTCATCACTCCTGATAAAATCCCTTACAATTCACACTAAATTCCTGCTAATCCCTGCACAAAGCTACAAAGCTGCCTCGGAAAGGAGAAGTGAGTGGCAGCAGAGACCTGCTGCTGGTTTTGCTTTTTTTGCCTTCTGAGGCAGCAGGATGCTCAGAAGCATCTGCGGGAGATGGGGTTTCAAGACACCCATTCTCAGGTCTGTATGTAGTTTGTGTGGTTTTGCCTTTACCTCCGTGGAGGTTTCCCTGCATACTCGGTATATAAATGTAAGTGGTGGTGAGGCACTTTAACTAGCAGCTTAAAACTGTTATTAAAGTACAGCAATTATCATATTTGGCCGGACCTAGATTGTAAGAAAGACGGTTTAAGCTGATGTGGTTTTGAGGCAGTGAGTCCTTCCTTAGTGACTCAACTGACTTCGGACAAAAGCAGCCTTTATAGCACGTTTCTGAACAATCATTCTGCGTTGTAAGTTTATTGACTTTCCAGCTTATTGCCAAGTAAAGCATAGTCAATGAGTATTAGTTTTCAAGTTTGCGCCACACTCATGTATGCAGGCTTAGTGTTGCAGAAGAAGTACAAGTGGAATACCAAGTACCAATTACTGTGCTTTTTTTACTGTCATTGCTAATTTTTTTTTTCTCAAGTTCGTCAGAAACTATTTGCCTTTGGGTTTGACAATGCTAATCAGGAGCTTTATCAAACAATAGCTGTCAGCTTATAGCTGATTTGTTTGTCAGAAGCTTCAAGGTTTGTGCTATTCAGTGTGTGATATATATGAATAGTGTCCACATATTTCCAAGAACAAGTTTTACATGCTTCTGCATAGGCAATGTGCAGTACGTGTTCAGTTAATATGTGGATGGAACTGCCCAAAATCCAGGACAGAGCAATGGTCTGGTTTGTGGCATGACAAGGGGGGGTCTGACCCCAAAGAGGACCAGAGGGTGCTTAGCTTTCAGGGCACAAATGTGGGCTTCTTGGACTGACTGTCTTAAATGGATTCTTGATGTGTTAAATATATATATTTTTAAAAACATATCACACCCAGTCACAGAACTAAATTTGAATTTCTTTATTTGCGATGGAGAAGTGCATGTAGTTCATCCTGTCATGTGGTTTGGGTATATAAGTGTGTGTTTGTGCAGTGTGTTTAAAAAAAAAAAAGGCCAAACAAAGAAGAAAGATGTTAGTTGGGGGGGAGTGGGGGTGTTAGAAAGGAAGATGATTATTAAATAAAAAAGTTAATTTGATATGCCTTTCCAAAGGTGCTGGATTTTATTTAAATGACCACCTTGGCTACTGGTACTTCTATTTTTTTTTGTTTATTTACTTATTGGCTTGCAACAGTAGAGATGCAGCCAAGCTGTAAAGAAAAAAAGGATGTTTTCTCAGAGATGATCAATGTTTAACCCATTTAACAAAGGAAGAAGTGTAGCTTTACATGTACATGTTACTGTTTGTGCTGCCAACAGGACAAAGCAGAAGGTGTGGAAGCTCTCCCTTTAGAGCCAGCATGAACTTGCATTAATATGCACCTGTATTTTCTGCTCTGGTATTATTTTTCCAAAAGTTCTCGTCTGTGAACATGGTTAATTACCTTGAGTATTAAGAAAGTACAGCTGTGCTATAGAAAAAGACTGTTGTTCTGTTGCCTAATACATGTGGTAGCTGCAGATTCTTAAGATTAATTAATTGTAGTAATGAGTCAGAGTCAAAAGATACTGTTTACTTAGTGAGTTGACTTCAAACATCTGAGTAGCTGAAGTTTGATGCTCATAATATCCTAATTAATGATAATATGCAGAGATAATTTGGGCTTGTAAAAACTTATTGAGAAGCTCTTCTTTAACGGGAGGGTTAATAGGATGAAACAGCATAAATGTAAGGAGTAATATTACCTGGCATAGATGGCTATTGCTCTTATCAAGCTTCTTAAACAAAGGTGTCACTAGTACACACACATATTGTTCTTGCACTGGTACACATACGTATAGATCTTACGCTATTATTTAAAAATAATCTGTATTGCTAAGCAAATGCTTCAGTTGTTAACTCAGTGTCTGTAAAACAAACAAACAAAAAAACCCAAAAGCATCGCTGTTAGATAGCATTGATCATTGTTCATCAGTTAAAATAATACTGAAAAACAAAATCTCAGAAGTTTGTTCAGTGACAGAGGCGAGCTATGTCTTTAACACAACGATATGCTGCCCATTAGCTTTTCTTCCCATTGGAAAGACATGCATTTTATACTTTTTTTTTTTTTTAACATTACAGGAGTTTGAAGATTATTATATTGGATAATAAACCCCAGATCTTGACAGATGTCTTGCCTCGGTTCTTTGTGTAGGATTTCATGACTGTTGAGGTTTAGAATCCATGTTCAAGGTCAGTACCCATACACACGAAACTGTTCTTCATTTATTATTAGGAAAAGTTTTGTGCATTGCTTAAATTATACTTTATATCTGAGTAAACTATTTGTGAATTGAATGCCTTGGAATACTAACATGTATTTCAGCTGCAGAATCAAACTGAGTTCTTTGATTCTGGTGTCATTTTAATGATGTTCTGAATACGGGTTCTTTCCAGAAGTTAACCCACAGCTAAGGCCAGATCTAAAATGTAGTTCAAAGAAACAGAGAGATTCCCTTTCACTAACATTCTGTATTTGCATTTGACTGCACAAGGCACAGAGTCTCATGGATGGCAGATGTGTCCAGGCTCTCCATCCAGTGTGGCATACAGTTAGCCTGGGTAGTTGGAGTGTGTTTTTGCAGTAGTATGTGTTATTCTTAAATGGGAATAATTAAAATGTAAGACAGGGAATGACTGATAAGAAACAGTTCTTCAAAATACAATTTAGGAGTTGTCCTATGTAGAACCTGAGTAAGTGATGTCATGTTATTAAGAAAGATGTTCAAATGGGTGATTGTCCTGAAAGGCATAAGGAGAAATCTCACATTTTAATCACCCTTGATGGCCCTCCAATGGAGTATTGTGGCCAGGTATAAGCATTACATTTCAGGAAAGAGGATTTGTTGATGGTTATTGCGGCTGAAGAAGAAAAGACAGAGAACAGACATAAATCTTCAAATACATTAAACTTCTGCGTACGGGAAGGAAATAGTCTGTTCTCTACATCCAGAACATAATGAACTGAACTTAAAGTGCAGAAGGTTCAAGTCTGATGACTGGGAAAACCACTTTATGCCAAGCATAATGAATTGCTAGAATAGATTGCTAGGGGAGGTGACGGGCTCTTCATTATTGAAAAATTCTTCCAGAGAGGGTTAGAAAAACATCTCTTGGAAATTGCATAGGTACAGCAGACCTTGTCATGGGGGAGGAACACAGACTAATTACTCCTGAAGTCTCTTTTAGACATACATTTCTGTGTCACTGTATACATCGCACTCAAACTGTGTCGAAGCATTGCAAATTAGTTGTGGTAAGCAGAAGGCAGTAATAATTAATACTTAAATACAAATTTTGAGGAAATGTATTTTCCTCGGGGTGTCACTTTTGGCATTGTTAGCAGTTAAATGAGTATCTTCCATTTCTTGCTGGCATTTACCCTGTTTCTTTCCAAACTTACTTCCTCACTGAATTCAGGTAATACATACCGCATTAAATGTACTCTTTCAAAGGCGGGTAACTTGTCTTAACTTTAAACATAGTGAAGAGAATGGAAGATGACTTATCCTCAGAGAAGTCACTTCTGCTTGCCTCTTATTTGGTAATTTTTTACAATTGTAGGCTTTTGTTTGTTTGTTTGTTTTTCAGAAAAAAAACCATTAACATGCAATTAAGACTTTGAATTTGTGTGAGACACTGGAGGAAGATGCTAGTGACTTATGAAGGAGAATATATCTGGAAAAAGGGGAGAAAACACACAAGTTAGAAACATACAGGGTAGGATTTAGAAAGCATTTAGTGTGGGGGGTATATGCCTGGATCTGGATTCCTAGTTCTGTACTTTCTAGGATTTAAGCTAACCTACCATTCTTTAGCATTCTAGAATTCATCTGTTTAGCACAATTTAAGAGTATATTTGGAAATATGTAGTCTGTTTATCAGCACATAGCATGTACCAATAGTATAGCTTGGTACAGTTCCAGCCCTTGTACTTCAGAAACATTTTGGATGAGATTTCAGGTTGAGAATGGTATTACAGAAAGAGAACTCTAAAGCTTACTTTGCTGTTTTCTTTTCTTTTTTTTTCTATTTATTTTCTTTTTAAGCTTTTAACTATCTTTGGAAGCCTTCTAAAAAAACCCTGTCATCATGGAGGTATTTAGCCCAAATTACAACATTTTATAGGAAATGTTTGATGAAGAATTGGATAACTGCAGATGTATACATGATGAACACATTAAAAAGGTATGCCACAATGCGAAAATAAAAGATTGTGTTCTTCTTGGTTCATAATGACTTTATTTCTGTTCTAATAAACAGGCAGAAGGAGGGAATTAAATAATTTAAAAAAATATGCCAGCTATTTTAGGAAACCTTGTTAGGAAACCTTAAATGGTCTAAAGAACTGAAGGAAGGAATACAGACATTTTGGTCCCACTTCTAGAGTCTGCCTCACCCGTAAGTGTTCATAGTCACTGATTTAGTAGAAAGTTAACAGCTTTTAAATAAGGCATTGCTAATCACTGAACAAGCATGATCTGCGTGATATGATCTCTTACCCAACTGGACTTATACATCCATGTTGCACATGTGTACAGTTCAAGTTTTGTGGTATATTCTGGAAACTTTTTGTTTCTGCATTGAAGTGCACTTGGTAGTACTCTCAGAGCTGCCTTTTAAGAACTGTAAGAGATTTCCTTGAGGATTTTTTTGATTAGTCAATAACTAACAAAACCAGGAATTTCACTGCTTTAGGACAACACTAACATATCCCATTTAAAAAGTATTATTGTTCTATGGTGACAACACTTTCAGAGATATCTATGTGGGACCTAGTCATCCAAGTTATTTGAAAATTGTGCCCTGTCACTCCCTCCTTTCCTGATCCTTCAGCAAGCATGCTTTTAGGTGGCAGCACAAAGGATGGAAAGCTCCTGTAGGAGAATTAGACCCACCTGAATTAAACTGAGTAACAACCATTCCAACTGTTGACCACTGACAAAGCTATTAAGATACAATGGGGACATATCCCTCTTTTTTCCCAGAATTTTATTGTTCCCAGCATTCTCACTTCTTGCTTTATGCATCTTTCCCCCTCTGGTTCAATTCAGTAAGGCTATGGCTAGCTTAAAAATGGCCAGCATACATAGAACTTCATCTAGAAATGAATAATGTGGGAAACTAAAACTTTTCACCATGATTTTGTTGTGAGTTGCTATCATTAAATGAAGAAAACTGGTTTGGTGTGGATTTTTTCCTTGCAGAGTCTTAGAAAGTCCAGAAGCTGCTTTTTATTTCTCAGAAATATGTTAAGATGTCGAAATTCCTTGACCAATATGAAGATCAGACCTATTGTGAATGGGAAGTCCAGGAGGATGAAATTTGTCAGTTTAATTTAGACCAACTTCTAATTAAGTGTAATCCCAGAAATGGCCTCCTGAGTGTTAATTTTGATCCTAAGGTCTGTATGTATAATTGTGATTAAACCTCTCTCTGATCTTTTTCCTTGGCTTCATATTCATAAAATGACAGCAATATTCTAGGGTATAAGTAAATGTTAAATCTTACTCATTTTGTTGTCTTTGTTTTCCAGTTGGGAAATCTAGTTGCCCTATACCTGCTGGAGGGACAATTCTTCCTTTAAACAGTGAAGAAGGTTATTATAGTAGTAAATGGTTTCCCCAGAGACACATGGAGGAATATAATAAAGACAGTTAGCTCTTCCCCTGTAAAATGCAGTGGTTCTTTAAGTTATCAAACTTCAAAAATCCCTTAAGTTCCTACCTTTAAATTGCTGACTACTAATTAAAAGGTGTCTCCTGTATACTTTTTTTATACTCCAGTCATCAAATAGATATTGTAATGCCTTTGTATCTGAGATTAAATACAAAGTAAACAAAAAGTCATTCTGTTGAGGCTTCTGAAAGGGTAAATATAAGTAAAACTGTTTCTTTCCTTCTTCTAGCTAGTGGCTTTATTGAGAGAGGTGAAACATCTCTTAATGTTGAACCAACCCAGCATTCCAGATCCTGCTTTTAGCTATGTGTGAGAAAAGGAACAGTTTTGCAAAGGTTCGTCGTGGTGGGATACATTAGCAGTGTGTGTTTTGGGTTTTGTTTTTCTTCCCGCCCTGCCCTTGCAACTTGCGCGTGTGTAGGTGAGCATGTGCATGGCTCTAACTACCCTGTTGTTGAAAGGAAGTATCGCATCTTTGTCTAACAGAATCCCACCCACAGCTTACGCTTCAGCTTGCTGTGCTGGCCACAGCTGAGCGTTAGGTACCGGGGGCAGTACCGGTCTGCATCTTCCAGCTGTGGGTCCAGTTGCCTTCCCGTAGCTTACCTTCTAGCTGGCAGCCTGTTCTGTTTTGAGACATTCAAGGTCTGCATGGTTTCCCTTTCATAGTCTATAGGCCTCCCTCTAATAGCTGTTCTGCCCAGAAAAGTGCATAATCAGGTGTGGAACATTAGAGGGATTTTATCTTGTGCGTGTCTTTCCTGTGAACAGTGTATCGGAAGCCCTGAACTTCTCGTTCAGCTGTACAAGAGACTAATGCAGAGGTAGAATATCCTCTGATTGAAAAAGAGCTGAGAACTATTGATGACCAGCTGAAAGAAGTGGAAGAAATACGCACAGGGCAGGCGACAACCTGCTGAGACTGCATCAAACAAGCGAAAATGGCAGTGTGTGATTTGGGGCAGAGTTTTCAGCAATCAAAGGACAATGTTGAATCAATCCAGGGAATTATGAAGGCTTGGATGGAACATGCCCTCTTTTTCAGGAAGGGTAAAAAAGAAGCTCTGTTATACCTGGATGACAAAGGAGAAAGACTTGCTAAAATATACAAAATGCTGCAAGAAGATAGCTACCAGATCCATCTTCTTGTTGAGGTAACGGCCAAGTGAGCTGTATTTTGATGTGGTGATATGGGTGTTAAATATTTGACCATTAATACTTGGTCAGTTGTATGATTTTGTTTGATTATTTGTGTAATTGCACAAACTCCGTAGAAGTTCTTTAAGACTGATGTTTGAAGACAAATAGGGAGAAGAGAGAATAATTCGGGGCAACGTTTGAAAAGAACATTAGTGCTTTTAAAAGTTGGTAGTTTGGGAATGACTGGCAAGCTGCAGTCATGATAGTGCTGCTATCTCATGTTTGTAACTCTGAGCTATGTTGTTGCTGTGATCCCTGCAGGTGAAGTAATTTCTGCAGCTGGAGAAATTGTCCTGAAACACTTTCTTGCACTAGATATATTGTTTAAAAAGTTTGATTTGAAATGTGAATATTCCTTTCTTATATGTGTAATTAAAAATATACAGCTGATAATTTAATTCACCAGTTTACTTATGAATACTAAATCAAATTATAACATATATAAATATGAACTGTTGTATTACATGACTACAAGTGATATGTCATACAGAGACTGAATCAAAGAACTTAACTTGCATTAAGGTGTGAATGCAGAAGCAGGGGTTTTTTTTGTCTCTGTGCCCCATTTTTGCTAATATTTTGAGGGACCTGCTTCTGTGTCTACTGCAACAAGTTTATGTGTCTGTTATTGACATTAATTTGAGTGTTACTATCTGCAGTACCTTTTAGTTCAGTTTCAGACCTAATTTTATTTGTATCATTGCCTTTATACTATTGATATTTATTTTAAAGGATCAGAAAAAAGGTCTCTTTAACATTTAGTTAAATATAACAAGGGTTGATACTGCAATGCAGAACAAACATGCAGAAGTATTCTTACAAAATGTGGCTATTCTGTCAAAGTTGCTGTATTTTATGATAACTTTCTGCCAACCTGTGGCCTTTTCAATGCAGGGATACCTTCACCCTTGCACTGAGCTTAGCTGGTGTAAATGTGATTCCAAGGAGGTTCAGGAGTCTCCTACACTGACCAAAGTGCGGTCCAGGAGTATACGTGATACGAGAGATATTTGAGTGTTGTCTTGTGATATACATCAATTATATAAAATAATACTGAAACAAGGAGGTGTACTGAATGAAGATACACATTAACACAACCATATATTAAAGTACTTTTCAATTGTTTTTTCTCTGCTTATTTAGGGAAATTTAAAGCCCTTCAAAACAGATTCCTCCTCAGCCTCTTGGAAGATTTATATACAGTGCATTGATGACATTGTGGCTGATGGTTTATATAACACCATAATGCATTCCTTAGACTTCTTTTTGGAGAACACAGAAGAAAGTTTGAAGCCAGCTCCACTTTTTCAAACACGAATGATCCTTAATGCCCCAGAGATTAACTTTAAACCTTCTCTAGATAAAAGAGGCTGGTGATGGCTTTTATGACCTAATAGATGAGCTCCTGGGTGATGTTTTCCAGATGTCTGCCCAGGTGAAAAGGGTAGCAGCACACCTGGGAACAGAACACTGCCAGGAACAGCCTCTCCTCTTGTGTTTGGAAATAATGAATCCAATTAATTGCAAGTTGCAAGAAGCTTATTTTTACTTGCAAACTCATTTAATAACATCCGTCTTCAAATCCTGAGCCTCATCTGTTCTCTCAGTTACACAGTTTATAGAGGCACAGTCCCATTCATTTCCAAAGGCTTACTCATGTTTTCACCCACTTCTGCAGCTGTGAGCAGCAGAATGAAGTCATCCATTTCATGCTTTACACATAGCTAGTTTAGAGTAGCTGAATATTTATCTCTTGGTTCCTGTGCTGTGAGCTTCCACCTTGGGTGCCATGTTGAAGTCTGTAAAGGTGCACGTAGTGGAAACTTAATCTCTTAGACAAGTAAGGGACTATCCACTAAACTGGTGGTCAGAATTATATATAGTCCATTAAAAGCCCAGCTTTGAATAACTTGCAAAGGATATCTATTCAGTTTGGTTTTATGTGTTCATATAATGAAAGGTAAACCCAAAATAGAAACAGCTGAGTGAATTGTAGTTTTTCTTGTTAATAGATCTCTGGGGAAAAGGGGTGGCATTCCAGTCTTTCATCTGTATGTAAATTTAACCGTTTGGTATTACTGTCTCACTGAAACAACAAAACTTTTCTTTTGATGCCTAGAATGATATGGACAACATGTTTGATCTGTCTGAAATCAGGCAGGAGATTGTGGAGAGACTGGCAAATATTACCAGCAAAGTGCTGGAGTACAGAATATCTCTTGCTAGCTATGCGTCCCTCTGGCTGGAGGACCGGTCTGAGTTTATGAAGCAATTCCTTCTCTGTGGTCATGGTTTAGCATCCACAAAGATGCCTCTTACTGATGAAGTCTTTCAACAGCCTCCCACTATTAAACTGTTTAAAGAGCAGGCAAGAAAGCAACTGGTCTTAATTGGCTGTTTAGTGGAGGTGGGGATGGGGATTGGAAGAGTATACGCATTTATTTATCTCTCTTCTGCTCTAGATTGACATCTATGAAAATCTTTATGTTCAGATAAGCAACTTTGAAGACTCAAAAATTTTTGAAACTTCGTTTAAAGTGGATACAAAGCCTTTCAAAATGAGCTTGCTAAACATTATTAAGAAATGAAGCTGGATGTTTAAGGAGTATCTCCTGAGATTTGTCATTATTAGGCAAAATGGAGTGCATGTGTGCATGTTTACATGCACTAAAGGAATTACTATAAGTTTGGGGTCTTTTTGCATGTAATGCTTCAATGATCTAGGTTTGCAGCTTTTGTTTTTATTATTATTTTCTTAGTGGTTTTTGTTTTGTTTTGTTTTCCAGGTATTGTACTTGCATATCCTGTTGGGTTAATTCTCAGTAGCAGCACTTACCACCTCTGGAAATCAGGCCCAGAAAGTCTTAAAATAATACAGTAAAACTGTATTGGTTTTATTTTATTTTTTAAATAACTATATTTACTTTGTAAAACAACTTAAGTAGTATCAGTGGGGCTTACTATATGTTTGTTCACTATAGTAAGGAATGTTTGCTCTGTGTGTCATCATACCTGTCTCTCTTTGGTAGTCTAGCTGACTTTGAAGAATTTATAAAAGTGGCAGATGCTGGACTCCAAAGAGAGGTGACCAAAGGAAATTATTGTGTGCTGGCAGAAATGATGGGCCATCTCTTGGCCGTGAAGGAGAGGCAGACAACTCCTGATGAACTCTTTGAACCTTTAAAAGAGATGGTTGCACTGTTAGAAAGCTATGGACAGAAGATGTCAAGTGAAGTTTATGTCCAGTTAGAGGTATGGTAGTAAAACTAATATTTCATGTACATATGTGTAGATAGTCCTAAAATAGCAGTATTTGATCTCAGTGATGTAAAATAATTCCATTCTCCTTGTTCTTTCTCAACTGCCAGCAATAAAACCGGGTAGCTTTTCTTATGTTCTTTAAAAGGCTCATTTTGTGTGAATGATGGAAAATCCATTCAAAAAGAGACCTGTACATTTTGTTCTGATGAGGTCCATAGTTATTTTTTGCCTTTTTTTTAAATAACGACCAAATTGTGTTCACATTCATAAGCCTCCTCCCAGAAGCAGAGCCATATAGAAACTCCAGTGAGTGTATTTCCTATGTTGCTTTGCCTGCCTTAACACAGTTACCAGTAGTTTGGGGCTCTGTGCAAATATGGATACAAAAGCTGGGATTTGATGCCTGTCAGATGATGCTGTCTTTTTCAGACATCCTCAGCCACTTGTTTCTGTATACATTCTGCCCCGCACCCATCCCAGTTATAATTATTTTGTGTGGCAAGTGAGATTTGGGGGAATTATCTGAATTAAGCAAAACTTGGTGGTAAGAATAGGTCGGAAAGCACTACAGCTGCAGTGGTTCCTATTGACACTAGAAGAAGAGTTTATTAAGCTTTAAGATCAGCATCTGTATATGACAGACCTTTACTTGGTCTGTTCTGGGACATGCACTAAACTGTAAATAATGTTAAATAGAATTGGGTAGAAGTTCAACTAATGTTTTTCATCAGATAATCTAATTAGTTAAAATGAAAATTTCTCACCAGTTTCAGTGAGTTTTCCAGTCCACAGTGGAATTTCTGTGTCAATCTGGTCCAAACCAGATTGAGAGGATGACTAGGAAAATAAAGGTAGGATTTTTGATGTGTACCTTAAACTAGTCTTCTAGTTATTCTGAAGTGACTTGGGTTCAGGCTTCTCTTTTTTGTACTTTCTTTTTTTCATCCTGATGGAATGGGTTTTTTCACATGGCTTACTGAACAGTTTTTCTAGAGATCTTTGGGAGATTTGTAGAGTGGGAAAGCTATTTCCGGGTCAGCTCTATATATTTGAAAATGTGTTAAAGCAGCAGGAGTGGAGCTCTCTGTTTTACTGTGTGGAAGATTCCCAACATATTTTTGAATGAAGTTTTATGTGATTATACCGACTTCATTAAGTTCAAGTGGTTTATGATTACTGATGATCCATAAAATTGATTCTTTTACAGTTGACAAAAATTCTAGTAAAAGCTATGATATAGAGTATAGCTTGTTGTTAAATAAATCCTCCACTGCGATTTCTTATTCATAGGCAGGTGTTGGAGTATCCTCACTTAATATACAAAATTTACTGATACATTTCTGCTGTTTGTGATATTTTTCCCTCAAGATAACGTTACCCTGTTAAATAGGAATTCCCTGAAAAACAGAATGCTATTAAGAGAGCTGTGTCGGTGCAGCATAAAGTAACTTCTCTTCAGGCATCTGAGGTTGCAGTTATTGGAAGAAAATGCACTTTACTTTGATGTATGTTGAATTCTAAGATCAGGGGTTTTATGTGTTTGGTTTTTTATAAGAACATGATCAGTGACAGGTGCTATTAGATGTCTTTCATCAGGGGAAGCAGATGGAATTCAGAGAATGATTTAAAATGGAAGCTCCCTTTGAGTTTGGTGCAGAAAATGCATATGCTCATCTCTAAAGTAATGGGGAATCTTGGAAAAACATATTTGCTTGTAAACTTTCAGTGCTAAATCTAATGATATTTTATTGTAGATATTAAAATATTTGTGGGTTGGGTGTTGTGGGGTGTGTTGTTTGGGTGGGTTTTGTGGGGTTTTTTGTTCTGTTTTTGTTTCTCTTGGTTTTTTGTTTGTTTGCTGGTTTGGTTTTTTGGGGTTGTTTTGTTTTGTTTCAAGAAGCTGGTATAATTCTAGCACCACCAAATCTGGGTTTCTCTTGTTTCTCTTCTAATGCTCATATGCTTACTGATAAAAAAAAAATCTCAGAATACTTGCTCATATTCTTTATTCATGTTCCTTCAAAAAGTCAGTATAATGTGCTCTTGAATACAATAGTCTAAAGTGGACTATTTAATGCATCTGTTAAAAAACATTGTGCAGGGATTTTGTTAACATTTATACAACGTTAATAAGTTAAGAGATCTATTATAAGAGTATAAATTAACTGTTTTCTATGCACCTTTTGTTTTTGTAGTTCAAATAGAGTCCTTCATATGCCTTTTATGTGCTTTCACAGACAACGTAAATGCAGCTTTTCAACATCTTTGCAGTAATTGCTCTCAGCTTTTCTTATGTTGAATCATATATACAGCATCTATAGATTTCACTGCCAGGTTTAGGTAAGCTCAATATACCCTATAACTGTACTTTGAGTGCTCTTTTCCTCTTCAAGGCAAATCAAGAGCTTGAGATGCTGGAAAAAGAAATGTTACTAATGCAGGAATCTGCAAAACTATTTGAAGTAGCTATTCCAGACTGCAAGCAAATGAAACAATGTTGAAAAGTGCAGTTGATCAAGACGGTTTGGGATATTAGTGTTTATATTAATGAAAGTTTTTTTTTTTAATTAATTATAAAGTTGTATAACATTGAAAATATATTCATTTAAATTTGATTCTAGAAGTGTTATATTTTTTATTTTTTTTAAAAAAAGTTTAAAATACTGAAGATTTCTATATTCCTTTTGTTTATGAAATTACAGTTGCTACATTTTAGGATACCTAGAGTAAAGATATCTCTGTCCTCAAGTTAACTAATTTCAAGATAATCCCAAAGCAAAACAACCTTGTAGTTTCATTTCAAGCTTTTTTAATACCAATAACTTGAATAATTAAAATCATTGAGTAAAAATTCAGAAAGACAGAAAATTCTACTTCAGAACTAAGGATTGTACATTAGAAGGTTAGACGCAAGAGTCTGGAAAAATCAGTGTACGTACCTGTATGGGAAATCAGCCTTGTAACTTTCTGTTTCCCTCAAGAAGTTGTTTTTCATAGGCGAGGTTAAAAAATATATGTACTAGATTTTCTTTCCCTAACTTTGTGCATAGCATTTGTATTGCCAGGAGGGGCTGCCGAGCATTTTCCCCCACATCTCCCAGGTGCACCTGTATGTTGTCAGTGGATAGAGGTGTGTGTTTAATAGTGCAAGAAAGCTACATATGTACGTATACTTATCAGATACTGAAGTATGAAACTAAATGCTTGGCTTTTGGTTTAGATTTTGAGAAGATGGATTATTTTGTGTGCTTTCTAGGTAGTGTTGGTATAGGGCTGGAAAAAAATAAGGTCCAGGAGCTATTGCTGTGTGATGGGCTTTCCCCTGCATCCATTTATCTGTTATGTAGCAGAAGCTTGTCTTTACCAAATGTTGTTGATGCTTTTATCTGTACTTTCAGAGCAGCACTGATGATTGGACTGAAACCCAGTGGACACAGATTAATGTGGAACAGATGGATGGTGCAGCTCAGAAGGTTTGCCAAGGCAGGTTCCATAGCTGTCTCTTTTTGCAATTTATCTGTCTTGGTGCCACCCGTTCCTCACTCTTCCTGCCCACTTCGATGTTTCAGTGGATTTGTTACTCATGTCCAAACTGAATGTTCTGGAACATGTTTTGTTTGGGGGGCTTTCCTTTAAAACTTCATTCTTCTGGGTGAGTTTCGAGTCCCCATGGAGGTACATAGTAAAACCATGCTGTCACTTCTCCGAATTGAGACAGTATGTGAAATAAAGAGGGTGGGGGTTTATGACAGGGCCTACCAGATGAACGTCATTATTTTTAGAGACAGGTGGAATTTGCAGAGGTTCATCTGCTTAGCTCTTAGACATAGCTCCAGAGTGTTGGGAGTTGCAGCAAAGATGCTCACTTTAAAGGGAGGGTGCTTTCTCTTCTTGAAGTATTTGCAATGTTTTGTTGACAGTTGCCCTGCAGAAGACAATTCCAATGGGTCAAGGGAAGTATGAAGCAAAAATAGCAACAAAGCCCCCCCCCCGCCCCCTGACTATTTGCAGGACACTAGAGGAATAGCTGTGGTTCATAGACAGTATAGTAGTTGAGTATGGAAGGAAGAAAGTCTTGAACCTAACGGGTATAAAGTTTCTTCTTCTTTACACATTTGTTTCATCCGGGAATAAATAAGTTTAACTGCATGCCTGGTTAGCAGTGCTTTAAGAGAAGAATCAGACTTTACAGCAGATGTCTTGGCTTAAATTGCTGCAAAATTATGGACTCCACCTAGCCAGTTCTGGTAGTGGGGGTTGTCATATTGTGATAGGGGTGGTAAAAGCAAGGAGAGAGTTGAAATAACTGCATTCTCCTTCTGTTTTTTCATCATTCACTGTGGCACATATGCCAGGTCCTGGAACAGAGAAGATGCTGATCACTGCCTGTGAGCTGATCACTTGTGTCATGTTCATCACGCTCCAGTGTGCATACGAGTCTCCCTTTCTCCTCTGAATGGTGGTTTTGAATGTATTGAATTTATGGATGTTTTTATCTGCAGTGAAATAATTAATAAGAGAATTAGACTTAAATCATCAGGGCTGTGGTAAAGTAAATGGCTCTGATCCAGCAGGAATCATACAATCCCTGTGTAAATGCAGTGTTAATACAGTTCCATTACTTTAAGTGACATACTGGAAAGTACATTTCCAGAGTCTTTGCTTTATCTGCCACATAAACCAATGACCCCGATAAAATCTTCCCTAGTCTTGAGCTAACTACAACTGTCCCACACATCTGCACATGAAACAAGAAAGGAGAGCTTTCTGACAAACTGCCTAAATTTTTCTTAAAGTTATCAACAAGGTGGCTGTTAATGGCAAGTAATTATTGCAATTATTTTAACCCTATTCCTTAGGAAAGGTGGTCTTTGGATAAAGAAGTTTGCTCCTGGGATGTATGTAGTGGCTTGGAGTTAAAGGTGAAGAATCTGATGCCGTCACTGAGAGCAATACGGGAGTTGCAAAATCCTGCAATCAGAGACAGACACTGCTACCAGGTCACGAATGTGACAGGAGTAAGTATTCAGCCAAAGAGACCCTGGTGATGGTCTTTCATACTCTGCACATAGACGCAGCAGTACTGTCAGGCATATGGTAGAGCCACTGCTGCCAACTATTCAACGTATAAGTGGAGCAGAGATTTAAGTTTCAGACAGAGGCATCTCATGGGTTGAGAAGTGAATTTGTGGTTTCTGCTCAGACAAAAGGACCCAATTCTCTGGAGGCAGACCTGGTTTGCTAAATTAGAGGGTTCTTCCATACCTGGCTGTCTCCCTGCTGAGCCTGAAAATAGCAGTAAGCTTGAAAGAGTCTGGCTGGTTTGGGACAGGGGAATACTTTGCAGTGAAAATTTCTATTAAATATTTATAAGGAAACAAAGCAATGTGGCTAGAAACTTTCCTGGCTAGCAAAAGAGAATGTTTCTTAATAGTGAAGAGAGGAGATAATGGGCAGAGGGAAATGGAAGGTAAGGAAAGGCAGGCCACCTGAAATATCAGCCTACTGGTACGTTTTTTAAGAATTAGTGTATAGGGAGATTGTTGGACCTGACAGTAGATTTAAAAAAAAAAAAAAAGGGGGGGGGGGGGGGGGGGGGGAGGGGGAAGAGACAGGGGTACCAGAATGGGGAGAGATGTATATGTTTTACCCAACTGTTGACAATACAACTGGAAAACCAAAGAAGTTTGTATGAACCAAAAAAAAAAAGTGATTTCAATTTCTCAAAAAGAATCCCAGTGGTTTTGGTTCCCAGGGTATAACATGGACCAGTTGTTAGTTTTCAAAATTTGAATAAAATTATTTTAACCACTTTGGAAAAAAAAAAAAGAAAAAGAAGTTCAATTTTCAATCACTTTTTTAAAATGAAGAAAACTGGAAGGCTGAAAGAAAAACACAGAAGAGCGTGAGCATAACACAGTGGTTCTGTTCCCATATGCCAAGCATTTTTCACATACAGTTTTTTTAAAAGGACATTTTAAAATTATTTTTAATGCAGAAAGCTCCTAAATGGGCCTAGCACAACATTTTTGTGATTTTTTTCCTAACAAAAAAAATGAAAAAAAGTTTGACTGTAGTCTTTTCAAAGCCTTGATTAAAATTTAAAAGGTTTTTTTTTTGTTGATATCTTACAAAGCAGTAACAAAATATGGCAAATACCTCTACCACCCCCAAGATTTCTAGTGTGCAAATACTGTGTCTGTAGCTTACATCAGCTTCAATGGCAGCTGTGCAAATAAACTTGGCTTTTAGTGTTATGACATACAGTATGTCACAGTACAAGAACGTGCAGACTATCACTTGACAGACTGTTTCAAAACAAAAATATACAGTAACAGCTTCAAGAAAGATTTCATCTAGGCTGATTAGGTTCAAAGTTTGGTGCAAATCTGAAAGTATATCTAGTATTTAGAGCACATATAACTTATTTCATTGTTTTTTACTTGGACTCCATTTGAATACTTTGTTATATGCTTATGTCTGATTTTTCTTATTCATATACTTATTTTGCTCTCTGCTGCCTCTTTGCTTTATAGGTCAGGCTTTTAGTAGCAGAAGATACTACCTTGACAGACCTTCTGGGACTCCAGCTTCATAAAGCAGAAGATGAAGTCCAAAGTATGGTTGACAATGCTGTGAAGGAGTTGGGTACTGAAAAGGTGCGAGATGCCCATTTTTTCCTTCTGTTTTTGCAGAATAGTATGTAACAAACTACTTGATTGAGTTTTGTTTCAAGAAATTCATGATAGAATTGAATAGTTTCATGTGACTTACCTAGGGAGAAAAATTCACAGCCTAGTGAAACTAACTTCTTGTCTGTGGTGTCATTTACCACCACTCTGAATTAAATATAATTTAATTAAAATTCTCAACTCAGAATATGAAATGTGATATGCATAGGCAGATGTTATTACTACTCTTCTTATTCCTAGATTTTGGCAGAAATCAGCCAAACGTGGGCTGCCATGGAATTTTCTTACGAAGAGCATCACAGGAACAGAGCTCCTTTATTAAAGTCAGATGAACAGCTGCTTGAAACTTTAGATAACAATCAAGTAAGGATTTAATTAATAGAAAAACTATTAGTATATTAATATTATTCCCTCCCTTGATAGACTTGGTCAGTTAAAACAATTCTCCTGAATCTTTACTGCAGACAGTTATGTTTTCTCCAGATGTTAGTCCTGGGAAATTATATGTATGCTATGTAACTATATATATTCTAAAAAAATTCCTTTCTCCACGTAGGAGTTTAAAAAAAAAAAAAAATCTAGAAGATATAAGCTTAGAAAGCTGTAATTTTTTTTAAGTCATTTAATAATATACTGTCCATTTGCTGTGTTTAAAGATGTCTTCTGTTACCATATACAATAATAAGTTACAGGAGAATTTGTTAAACTTTTATTAGCCCTAGTTCCTCTGTTTGATAAATTATTTTGATTAGTGCAGTTTTTTATGTGTTTTGTTTTTCTAGGTTCAGCTGCAAATGATTCTGAAAAGGAAATATGTGGCATATTTCACTGAACAAGTGAAAGGTTAGCAAAATAAATTAAACATAGCAGATTCTGTCATTTCCATTTGGATGGAAGTTCAAGTCACGTGGTCTCACCCAGAAATTATTTTCACTGGCTCTGAAGATATTGGAAGCCAGCTTCCAGAAGATGCAAACAGATTTGATGAAATCAACAGAGACTTGAAAGTTAGTAGAGTTAACGTTTCATGTCCATTTATAACTTGTATTTTAATTATTTAGGGTAGGTAATTTAATAGATATTATTTTTAAAAATAACAATACCATATTGACAGTTTAGTTTGAGTACTTCTTTGATAGGCTTGTTTCTAACCCACTGAATTAACATTATTACAAGAGTCTCAGACTTACTTGGGAGAATATCGGAGGTAGATTTTGCATTCTTTATTATTAAAAATCAAAGTAATTATTTGCCTTGTTTTCCTTTCACATGGACCGGCAGCTGCTGATTGACACATTGTCACAAACTGTGACTTGTGACAAAGTTCTGCAGGTCATTCCTTCACATGACTTTAATATTTTCTCTTATTTACTCTTTGTTAGCTTTTTAACCCCCGGAGTCACACAGAGATACGATACTTCTGAGTTACAGAAATCCCTTCTGCCAAACTCGGTATCATTTAGGACAATAACAGATGAAATACAAGTTAACCATCTATTATTTATTGTTGTCAAAGGTAGTTACAGCAGTTAACCTAAACATTTGAACTTACACAAAATATTGTGTCTTAATTGTTCATTCTGTCCAAGAAAGGTCACTGAACCCTCACTTAGTAAAGAGAATAACTTGTGTGTTATCAATATACCTATAATTCAATCCACATATGCCAGGGAAAGTTCTCATTATGTACACTTCTGAAAAGCTAGGATATGATAATGATTTATCGGGAGGTTCTACATTTAAAATTTCAAATAAATTTCTAGTTGTTTAAATTGCAGATTTAAACAATGTGGGCAGCAGCATGTCTAACTATATGCCAAAAAAAAAAAAAAAATCTATATTCACAACTTTGTCCAAGTTGACAACCCTGTTAAGAACAATGAAACTATTCATGGCATTCAACATGTATAAGTTTCTTCATGGTGCATGTTGAAAAAGGCATTGGGCTTGCACGCATATGCAGAATTGTTGTACAAGTTAATGCTGCTGTTATGATCTGTTATTTTTATTTTGTTACACGAGACCTGATAGTATAATCGGTGGTATTTGCTTTCCTCTGGTGCAGTTCTCTCTGTTCTTTTTACATTTCCTTCATGTTCAGTCTAAACACTGTCAAAATACATTTTTGTAGATTTTTTTTCTTTTGCTGTTTAAGAAAAAGAACCTAAAACAAGCTGATGAGGTGCCTTCTTCCAGCTCTTTTCCCCAGTGCTTTTCTTGTCCCAGTATAGTAAAAGGTATGAAGTAGAAAAAAATCTGAGGGGAATTCTATGTGTTGCAATAACTTCCTCACACTTCTGTACAGCAGTTGGTGACTGACATAGCAAATACAAAAAATGTGATGGATGCTACAAGCCAAAGGTGTATGAAAATTTTGAAGCTTTGCAGCACAGTAAAATTTCCAGCATGATTAACAATTGTTCTAAAGTGTAATTCTGGAACAGTCAGGAAATGAGAGCTGTCAGGTCACATTTGCTTTTTGTACAGGTGTGAGATGATCTGATAATATTTTTGTCATTTGTTTCTATTTGACATACTGGATTTTTACTGCTTTTTATATGATCAATTACATTTGAGGCACTGGTTCATTATTTATGGATTGCAGGACATAAAAATTGTCAAAAGTCTGAAAAATATGGTCGGTTTGGATCAAATTCTTTTTCTCCCCATCCACAACCTGGCAGCTGGGAGTCTTTCTTTCACACTTCCAGCAGGAGATAGTGGATTGTCTACAGCAAAGGTCCTCCTTCAGCCCACTTAAACGTATGCCTTCAACTTGCCACTGATGTTCACTCTTCCTACCTGTAGAGGCAGTGACGTTTGGAGTCACAGCCTGTTTCTCCTTGCAGGAAAAAGTTGTAATAGGCAGTTACAAAGAAAGAAAACAAACCCAAAACACAAACCTGTTTTTTGAGATGTCACTTCTGTTATGAGAGATACCAAGCTAATAGCTAAAGTGCATCAGTCACACATAAATAAATGTGTGGTTTTCCTCTCCAGATGATAGGCATGTAAGTGAGTATTTAGATTCTTAATACTTTTTGTGTCAGTAGCAACATGTGTGTTCATGTTTGTTATCCTTCATACATAAAATGTGTGCATCTCAAGAAAAGTGGTTATTTTTCACTCCACACACACTTTTTTAATTATTATTTATCTGCAAATAACTGCCCTGTCAAGTAAGAAATTTTGTTCTTGTCCCTTACTTGCTAAGGCTGGACTCTTTGGAAGGTTGAGGGGGAGTTTCCCCTTAGCCAAACATATCTTTTCAGGGACTTTTCTGTCACCTTTCCATTCTCTTGGGTTCCTTGGTCTGAATGATTAAAAAGAGCATGTTCCCTTTTTGGTTTCTGGAAAGGAAACATATAAGGTTTGCCACCTTATCTGTTCCTTACAGCTGTATTCATTGTTATTATTTTAAATTAGAAGTGGATTGTATTGTTCTGTTTTACTTTTTGGTCCGATTTCCTCCTTAACTGGGAGGGAATTCTTGGCTTTAGGGTGATTAAAAGCACATATCGTTAAAATCTCTGTCTTATTTTCAGACTTTCTCTTTGTGAAAAAGCTCTGGCTTTATTTTTAGAAACCAAGCACATAGTTTTTCCACGCTTCTATTTTGTTTCTTCAGCAGACTTGCTAGACGTTCGTTCAAAAGGAACACAGCCAAAACAGGTGAACCTCCTTGCATCTTATTGTACTCCATTTTGTCTACAGAAAGGCAAGTTTTCCAGCTAACTGTGTGAGGAGATAGTATTGTAGAACTGCACCTTTGTTTCTGAGTGTTAATTTACTTTACAAATACAATCACTTTGTGTAAGGAAGGTAGTAAACATTTTCCCCCCAGCTAGGGGCAAGTACAAGGTGTTCAGCAAGGAAAGCTGAAACCATCATTCTGAGGAGAAGCGTTACAAATCTTGTGCTGTCTCTTGCTGGAAATTTAGCCATGTGCAATTTGCATTTATTTGGATTTTTTGGTTTGTAGGTTTGCAGGAATTGAAAATGGAAAAAGTCAATGAGATCATCAAATCTATTCTCCTTCTAGCATGGATTGATCTAATTTCAGGCATGCTATGCATAGTGATGATAAGTAAGACTGAAAGATCTATGGTCTCTGTTAGGCTGTTACTGACTGAGCTTCTGACCATTGTACGAGGAATGGTTTTTGTAGCTATCCTTCTGTTTTCCTACCTTGAACAATAATCTGGTAGGTTTTGTGACGCTTTGAGACCAATTTATATAAAAGCACAGGGACTTTGATGTATTTCAGAAGCTTTGTACTATGTTATCTATGTGCCAGATGATACTCCTGGCCTCAGTGACTATCCAGCTGTGGCCATTAATTCTTTGAGTGCTAGTTATTGGTGTGTCTCAGGTAAAGCCTTTTTGGATGCAATGTGACATGTAACAGAAGAACTGATGCTTTCCAAGAGGATGAAGGGCATGTGAGGCTTGAACACTGAGCCTTTTCAAACATGGTGACAGAGTCTCATAGCTTCTGTATGTAACTAAGTCTCAGTGACTTGTTTCATTCACTCATTGCTCTGCACCATATATAAGAAAAGCAACTAAATAAATCTTCTGTTCTAGTTACCAGACATAGAGCATGCTGGTGTGTAGACAGTGATCTTCAAACTCCATGGTCCTTGGAGAGGTGCGTAATTACACAAGACATTTAGACCTGAATCAACAATTTGTGAAATATGCACTAGCCATAATTAATAATTTCAAGACCTCTCAGTTTTATATTGAGCTACCTTTGTCCTTCAGATTCTTCTGATGTCTGACAATAATGTAATTAACCTCAAATTTTCCCATAAAAACCTCCTGTGTAGTGATCATGCTACAGACAATCAGATAGCATTACCTTGTCAGTCTGTGCCACCAGGGAAGTACTATTCTTATTTGTTCAGTTGGCATAAGTGTTCTAATACTATGGAAAAAAATGTTTTTAATTTTTGTAATTGTCTTTAAAACTTAAGAATGAAATGTTGATCAATCACCTGGTCATTCAGTGCATCTTACTTGCTAAGATCAATTGAAGTACTATGTGCTGAAAGCATTAGAATAAGAAACACAATTGTAAGATAAGTGCAAGGACTTCATGTTTTCCAGTTAGTTGCTAAGAACTGTTAAATTTTGCTGAACCACAAAATCTTATTGTGTAGAGCAAAATTTAGGATGGTAGTCATCCCATCCACTGTAATAGAAATATGCATTAAAGTAGTGTGATTGACACAAATCTAAGGTAAATGGTTTCCTTATGTCTGGTACTTTTTGGGTGCAGGTGGCCCATTATCTTACCAAACTTTTGGACAATATTGCTGATCTTACATTTCAAGAGAATATAGAGGAATCTGTAAATACTGCCCTTGGGATGTTCAGCAGAGAAAAGGAGTATGTTCCGTTCTATGAAGGGTGTGGATGCAGTGGTCAGGTGTGTTGAGTTATGTGAAATTTCCTTTACAGATCTTGCCCTCTATGGGATATAGATTAAATAGACACTTTCAGTGGCATGAAATGCTGCTTTAAAAAAAGTAAATCTAGAAAGAAATAAAAAAAAAACCCTTACAAGTATTTTTTCCAAATTCTAAAATATTTTGTGGCCCAAAACTGTGCAATAAACTAATAATTTAACAAATTGTCTAGGTGCCCCTTGTAAGTTTTCGGGTTTTTTTTAAGAATAGAGAGCTAAGTGTTTAGGAGCAATGAAAAAAGAAAAAAAAAAAAAAGTACTAAAAGCCACAGAATCGATGAAGCCTGTGGCTGAATGTTGCATTTCTCATACTTTCTCTCTTCTTCTGCCTTTTTATTTCATCTTCCATTATACTTTCAGATCCCCTCCTCTCTTATCCTTTAGCACACACCTCTCCAGACCTCCAGCTCTCTCTTGTATCCCCTATCAGCTGAACAGGGTTTTATCTGGTTTTGAGCCTCATATTTGCTAATTGGCCAGCCAGTATGTGTGCTAACTGAGTAGTGGTAGGTCAGAAAGAACAGATCAGCAGCTTCTGAGACAATAACTTATTGTTCTCAGAACAGTGCTGAATGGATAAGCATTCACATCGCATAAAATCAATGTTACATGTGGTTCTAATGATTGATTGTCTCAGCAGGGAGGCCCTAGACTGAATGGACAAATATATGCAGCTTGCCTCTTAGAGACAGTTTCTCCAAGATCAGCTCCGTTTGAGTGCATAGAGACATAGGAAAGACTGTATTGTCTGTGTTTACTCTGTGTCTGTGACCAGAAAAAATTCAGACTTTCATATCTGGAGCTCTAAGACAGTATGCCTGTGTTCAAGTCAAGTGGATATGTAAAACAAAACAATGTCTGCTATCTCAGTAATTGGGAAGGGCTCCGGTGAGCTAAACCCTACTGAAGAGACAGTGGGAGAGAGAAAATGGAACAAAAAACCCCCCACTCTCATTTCAAATTTGCAAAGAATGTTGATGTAAAGAAAATCCTTTATAAAGATTGAGATAAGCTTCCTATACTGGTAGTATAAAATGTACCATTTATGTTACGTGCATAAATGTATGCATGTTTGGGGAGGAGGTTCTTCAAAAGGTAGAGTCTTGGTGGCAACACCGTGAGGAAACACTACACAAAACAGTGCACCTCTACATCATGGAGGCAATACTGGCCTATGAAGAGAAGCAGAGAGAACAGTGGGGTTTTGACTATGCAGCCCAGGTTGCACTTACTGGTTCACAAATCTGGTGGGTTTCAGATGTTGAAATGGCATTCAGTAGGCTGGAAGAGGGCTTGGCATCAGCCCTGAAGGATTGCCACAAGAAGCAAGTGTGAACATCATCTTTTTGTTTAATGCAGTGAAAAAATAAGTACAGTGTGAAAATGGTCTCTTAAGAAGAGAGGAGTGGCATATCTAGTAATTTCAGTCCTGTAGTAAATAAACTGCTGTTAACACCTACAGAAAAAAGAAATGCACCTTTTGCTTCCATTTCTGTTATCTCATGGGCATTGTTATCATGTCTCAATTACTGCGGTTTCTGTAGGATTATTCTGAACTGAGATGAAAGGTAAAAGCAAAGATACTGCTGAACATCAACCATGCTGGTGTGACAGGAACCGAGTATGCAACCAGTACGTATACAAATACTAAACACGTGTGTGTGTAAAGAAGTCAAAACTGTTGGTTTTATTTGTGTCAAACCAAACAGTTTACTTATAATATTATTAGTTTTAGTCCCACTTCAGAAGGGTACCTTCTGCAGTTTGATTTTTTTGTTTTGCCCTTGTTTACCTCCAGCTTATTTTGAATGTTTTTGTCCTGGTGCAAGTATTTCTTCTCTCTGTGAAAATTTTAAGTAGTTTTGGTTTTCTTTTCCAACCTAGAAAATCTGCCAAAGGGAATTTGAAATATGAAAGAGACTTTTAAGGGGGAGGAAATCTGATAGAGATGTCTAAAATTATTCCTGTAATAGAGAAGGTGGATAAAGATTAATCTTTCTTTGCTGTTTCTCGTAATACAAGAGCTAATAGGCACTACCTGAAGCTATTAGGTAGCAGACTTTAAACAAAAGAAATACTTTCACACAGTGTACAGTTTAAAATATGGAATCTTTGGCTACAGAATGACAGAACTATATGAAAAGGTCAAGTGAAGGGTCAGCCAAATTTCAGTCATGGCTGTTAAATATAATGATAAAATAGGTAGTGTAGTTTTGGGAGTTTGGCTTTGTTGTCTTGGTTCTTTTTTGTTTAGTAAATTCTGGCTGCTGTGTCTGTGGCAAATTATGGCATATGTTCCCAGGATATCCTTCTCCTGCACTTGTTTTTTATGTTCCCTTTGTTTTTTTTTTAAATCAATCTCTGCTAGTTTCTGTGAAAGGCAGAGACAGATCCACGATGAACCTCTATGTGATCCAGGCAGGCAATGTTTCTGTGGTCACTTTGCAAGTAGAGCAGCGAGCACTGTCTCATGCAGTGGCTGCTTCCTGGGCCTGTGGTGGGGACTTTGGAATGGTTCTGCTGTAAAAAGAGTGGACTAGGAAAGATCTTCTGAACCTCTCTGCAGATGGTAGCTCACTGCCATAAAGAAGTGGAGCTTTGGGTGTGTTTAAAGGAAGATGCCAGAAATATTTCAGGATGCTAGACAATTTCATTCACAATGTTGCTATTGATATCTCCTTTATGATATGACAGAAAAAATAGGGAGCCCTGTGAAATTACCTTCTGGTTTTATTTTTGTAAGCATTTTCAAAATCTGTTAGGGCTTTAGACTGTGATCCTCAAACAATTTGCTTGCACAGAGTTACCTTCTGAGCCTTTAACTGTGTCTCAGTAAAAACAACACCAATAGGTGTTTCTGTATTATTTTTATATAATATACAAAAAGTGTAGCATTTAAGGTCTCACTAATTCACTGTCCTTTTTAAACCAGAATTTTAAAATGTGTACAAGCACGGTTCTGTCTCACACCAGCTAGCAAATAAGTTATATCTTTCTAATAAGGTTACATTTGCCTCCTTAGAATTACATGCAGTAGCTGTGTATGTTTTTCTTGCCTATTAATATGAAACCTGAAAAATTCCATCGGGTCTTTCACTATGTAACTCTGTATAATCATTCATATCATATTTTGTGATCTTCCTTTCATTGCTTTGCCTATTTTTAAAACATCACTGATCTTGCCTAAAGTCTATTTTCAAACAGTTTGCCAGTAAATGTTCTCATGCAATTAGTACAATTTTTGCGGAGTCTGATGCATATCTCTGTGGAGATTGTAACCACAAAATTTAAAATTCAGCTTCATGCACATCTTCTTACCCATCCATTCCTCCTACCCAGCCTAGCTGACCATCTTCAGTATTTGTGCTCATTGGGATTGTCATTGTTTTGGAGGTGGTTCAAATGTCTGTTTAAACCAGGGTTTCTTCATCTCATGTTTAATATCAGCAAATTTGTACCTACAAGCCAGGTTTTGTGGTGATTGATTTAATGATGTAGGCAGAACTAATGTCTTGTAGCAGTAATGGTAGATGGTACTGGGATCCATCTGGTCTCAGAGAGTTACCTAAATCTTCTAAGGTCACTCAGCTAAATGCTTTTATTACCATGCTGCTTGAAGAACTTTTTTCGGGTGATCGGCAGAAAATCACAATGACCATTTGCACCATAGATGTTCATGCTAGAGATGTTGTAGCAAGCCTTGTAGCTCAGAAAGTATGTATTTGGATCGGCTATATTTTATAAGCGCAGTTTTAGTGGTTTTGACAGGAATTGGTAGTACTTAAGCCAAGTTTGGGTCTGGATCTGCATGTGGGCACCAGGATGGTGGAGGTGGAGTAGGTATAATCATGAAGACAGCCTGTCTCAGACCTGTGTACTGTGCCTGCATTTTTACAGCCTACTGCCTTCTGAATTCAAAATTTCCCTGAATAAAAGTCAGGTGTCAACTTTTAGCCTACTTCTGGGAACCATTCAAACTGTCAGTAGGTTTTCTGTGAGCAGCAAGATATTTCCTTTAAATTTCAGATCGCAAAACTGAGTGCAGACACTCCTTGGGCGATTTGAGTGGGTTTTGCAAATGTCTTTGGTTATTCTGCTTTTAGTTACTCCATCTTCAGTTGTTCATGGTGTGTTTTGCTCTCCTTTTAGGGGGACACATGTGCATCTCTAGAGCAAGGCACTCCTCTGGTGACTCTTCATAAGTGCATGCAATTACAATTTGAGCGTTAAGTTAAACCAAGGTGCTTGCCCTATGTTTAACTTTGTTCAGGTAGAACTAAGGTGGCTGACCCATGCTGCTGGTTTGAATGCACGAAACGTTTCACTGGATGGGGATTGAAATAGGAAAGAATTCTCATTTTCTTTCTGACCTCCTGAGCCTCAGAAATAAAATGGGTTTCTAAGATGGCATTAAGACAAGAAGAAACAAAGTTTGAGGAGTAAAATGAAATTCCTTCTGGTCAAAGCAATGTCTGCTCCCATGCACAGACTGCATTGTTTGTAAGGAAAGGTCTTGGCTTAATAAGTGGCAATGTGTTCTGATGTAATAGCTCTATTAAAAAGATCTTATATTACACTTGCATCTGTATAAAAGCACAAATGCCTCAAGGTGCATCTAATCCTTTATAATTGGTTGTAGTAGTTATTCATAAATGGCTAGGAATGATGTGTGACACCTACTGATGACAGCTGTAGCTTTGTGATGGGTCTCATTTCTTTCATCTGAAGAGCTCCTATGTGGCATAATGGCTCTGCAATGGCTTTTTAGGTGACCAGTTCGTGAGCTTTTGCTTGGCTGTCACAGCTACACCATAGATGAGATGACGCCCAGAAACACGGTTTTGCCAACATTTGCGATGCTCAGTTTCAGTACTTTTATGAGTACTTGGGAAATACCCCTCGGCTAGTTATTACACCTTTGACTGACAGGTAATGACTGTTACTAACAACAGTGTCTGCTTTACCCGTTTCACTGAATAAAAAGTTAAATATTTCTTAGAAGTTCAGTGTTCTTTCATACCTCATATGTATTTTATAAGGTTATTAAGACACAATATCTTTGAGCATGTGTGTGCATGTAGGTGTGCATACTTAAGTAATAGTATGATTTTAATGTCCATTACTTTTAAAATAACTGAAATATTTCTCACATAACTTAATGTATATATTTAATGTCTAGTCTGAAGAAGAATATGAGTGGATTTATACCAAGGTTAATCAGGCATTTTCAGCAAAAGAATATTTGTGTGTGTGTGTGTTTAAAGTCCAAACCAGTACTTTTTTTTTCACACCGTATACAATGAAGCTTTTTTTCTGGACATGTTTTGGCTCCAGAATGGAATTTCTTGTCAAAATTTGTGATCTGGAAAGATGGATCCAGCAATCCTGGCTGGCTTAGTGCTTATGACCCTCAGGTGGGGGACAATTCTGGGGCTCAAGTCTTTGAAATAGGCAAAGCGGCAACTACAGCCTCCTGTTTCCTGTCCTGTGTGACCACTGATAGGATATTCCTTCCTGCTAAAAAATGTTGATGTGGTTGGTTTTCATATCTAAAATAAGCATTTTCCAAGTAGTGCCACATCATGACTTTACATGAACATGAAAGAGGTACATTTGTGGTTTAGGACATTAAATTGCAATGAGAAAGTGGACTCAGAATAAATCACCCATGAAACAAGGTGTGGGGAAAAAAACCCCAAACAACCAAACCTCCCAACACTGTAGATGTTCCTTGCAATGCTATCGCTTTCCTTATGTTAAGGTGTTACATTACTCTAATCCAGTCTCTCCACCTAACAAGGAGCAGTGTTCCTGCAGGACCAGCCAGCACAGGTAAGACAGAGACCACCAAAGATCTAGGCTGTGCCCTTGCTATGATGGTGTATGTCTTCAGCTGTTCTGAGCAGATGGATTACAAGGTGAGATGTTCTGCTAAGCAGTACAGAAATTGTTGTTTAGTTTCTTTTTCATATGAAGTACATTGGAAATTGTTGCTTTCAAGAAAAAGATGTTAAATCTTTCACTTTTGATTTTAGTCTATAGGGATTATCTATAAAGATTTGGTCCAGACAGGACCTTGGGGATGCTTTGATGAATTCAATCACATCTTGGTAGAAGTTCTGTCAGTCGTGGCAGTACAAATAAAGACTATTCATATTGCAATTAGGAACAAGAAAAACAACTCAGTGTTTTAGCAGTGCTTCTTGATTGTCCTTTGCCATCTATAAATACTGAACCAGTAAAATCTTTTTCCAGAGTTCCTCCGAAACCCTTTGTGAATGTGGTGAGGGAGTAGATGGTAACATTAAATCACCCATGTAATATAATATACTACCTTAAAATAACTTTCTCTTCAAAATGTAGCAACAAATGTGAGTGAACTCCTGGCTGTACAGGAATCCAATTAAAGCTCTGCTGTTGAAGCTCTGGTCCTGTTCAAGTCACGCCATGTGAAATCATTGCATTGTATGGGTGAGAAGTTTGGTGGGGTTCAACCTTGCAAGAAGTCTCAGGATTTCCAGTGTTTCCTGGTGGTTTTGAGGCCAGCCTTGTGTTTCCAGTGTACCATGTTCTCCCTTCTCTGCTTGCTTTACTCGATGCTGCCTCCTGGCCTTCTCAAACCCACCACTCCCTATCAATGTCTTTTATTCTACATGCTTTAAAAATTAATTCCTCCTATAGACATGCTTCAGCCATATGCACTCTTTGTTGCTCTAACAGTCCAGTCTTTTCCTTCCAAATTCAGTGCTGGCCAGAGGAGCCAGAGATTACTAAAAGCTGGTGCCTACCAGGGAAATATCTGTTTGCTCAGCTCTAATAAACTTTCCTAGACATTTGCTTTTGGCCATTGTGCGAGACTGGATCCAAGCCCAGATGCACCTTTGTCACCTGACCCATGATGGCTGGCTTTGTATGATGCAGTTGTTGACATCTAATCCAACTGTAAAAATTTTTGTGTTATCTTATAACAGATTTTTATTCCTTGGTGAAAACATTACCCTGAAGTCATCAGTTGGAACACTTATTACCATAAACCCAGGATATGCAGGTGGGACAGAACTACCTGAAAACTTCAAAGCACTGTTCAGGCAAGTATGCTATAGTGTATTTTTATGGTATACGAGTGTATCAAGTTTACATTTAGAGTATATATGTTGCCTAATGTTACTAGCCTTGATCTGCAATGAAATGCAATTTGTTTGCTTCAGAATTTATGTGGAAAAAAAAAAAAATCAGTATTCAAGCTATGCGTGTCTGTACACCACAATGACAAAGGAAATTAAATGTATATCTTGCCTTTTAAAAATCTACATATAATTTTAAAGGTACCTGTGAACACACTGTACCTAAATATGTGCAAGAACGTTCGTTGTTTTGTGGTAAATGGGAATCCTCACAGCTGGCTTTGCCTAGTAAAATAGCCATTTGAATAAGTGTCTAACTATCACATTCTTCCATGGGTGTTGGCATGCATGCGTTCATAGATGTTTCATAACTACCAGCTGAAGATGAAGCTGCATGCTCTTACCTAGTAAGATATTGAATATGTGATTGTTGAGAAGCTGTGAAGTGTAGCTCACAGAAAAAAGTTTGTATGCTTTTGGACACTGTAGGACAGCCCGGTAACTTTTTCTTGAAGCACATATTTATACTTTATATCTTAACACTAACATTCAAGGAAGAAAGTTTTGAATTTAAAAGATCTGACTATATTTTGCATGCTGCGCTCGGTGAGTTGTATTGAAATGGTGCTTCTGAGAGGGAATTAATTCCACAAGCAGTTGCTCCAGCACGATGGGCAGTAAAATGATGCCAATTTATCCCGACAAAGTGTTGGAGCTGCGCTTTGAACTATGTGGTAATGGTCTTTGACTTAAATGGTACAGGACTTGCTTAAGAAAGAGTTGGCACTTTAAATCCTTGTTCTTGCATTAACACTTTTCAGTGATTTAATCAAGACTTGAGAAAAAAATTATTCTGTGATTTCATTTCTCAACATATTGAAGTTCAATGGGGCAAGTTGCAAGGCATTGACAGGCTGTCTGGGAGGCACAAGTATAGATGGTGCTATCTGGGATCTGCTTCTCTTACCAGTAAATCCCTTTGATTTTTAAAACATAGAAACTTAGGGCAGAACCGGGCATCGCTGTTGCTTCTGTGAGCTAGTTGAAACACAGGTACTACTTTCTTCTGTATTAAAAGGTACATCAAGATTTTGGCGTACTTCATTATTTCTGCTCTAGCCATGGAATTCCTGACACCATACTCCTTCATGCTTTCACTGCAGAAAGATACAAAATCTGCTAAAGTTGGAAAGCAGTTTGCTCGGGCACATCTCATCCTCTTGCCAACTAAACATCCTGCTTCAGATGGCAGGACTGGGCGGCACTGCAATTAGCTTTCTTGTTCTTTGAGCCTAAATTACAATCATTTGTAACAAGCAGTAAGTAACATCTGTTTACAAGGAGGAGGTCAGGATTTGAATTCATGTGCCTCTGCAAAGACTGTTGCTGAATAAGACCCTATAGTTGGGTCTTAGCAAACATTGGAGGGAGACCCTGAGAGATGCATCCTACTTCCCCATAAGTGTTTTTTAAATATTTCACAACTTAGCTGTTGCTTTACCAAGCCTTCTCATTAATTGCCATCTAAGGACTCTTCAAGGCAAAGCAGGATTGGTGCGCACCGAGGGACCAATGTTGGGCAGCCGCTCGATTCAGAACCTCTCAGAAGGGAGGGGACAGGGCGACGGGGATCCCATCCACCCTGTCTGTGCGGTGTGGCTGCCACCTTTTCTGCATTCGGACAGAGTCGGCTGCCTTGGCAGCCATGTCTTCTGCAGTCAGCTAGATGTGGTATTTGACAAGAGAGCAGGAGGGATGCCTCCCTGTTGTTACCGAGTTTTTCACCTCTCAGTGGACTACCAGAGGATGGAAAATGCATGTGATTTGTCTCTGTTGTTCATTTATTGTTTTTCTTCCTTCTTTACTTTTTCATTCGGGAAGAAAAGAGTAAGGGATATGAAATTATATTAATTAAAAATATCCCTACTGAAAGATAAAGTCAAATTATTGCTTTATTTGATGTGCTTTCTATTATGGTTTTCTTTGGTTTTGTTTTTTGGTTTGTTGGGGTTTTTTAATTTTCAAAATGTACTTGCTACATAGAGCTTGAAGTGTTACCTTTACTTGGTTGTCACATAAAATGAAAAGCCTTTGGAATTAAAGTATGAACTGCTGCATTTGGGACTCGGGAATTCAGCCCTGTAGCTGATGTCTGTAATAGCTCTTATCCATTGTATAATGCACAGAAAAGGTGGGAGGTAAGTGGTAAAGCATTAACTCCATGTATTTGCCACCTAATGAAATCTCACAAGGGAGAGAAGATATATTGAATACTACTACTCTGATGTTTCTTGTGCAAGCAGTTATTCTATTTGCAAGAAGGGTATTGGTTATGGTAGGTAGAAGAGCATATAATTTTTTATAATTGACAGCAATGCATATAGCAGCCCTTGCTTGGTCTTATGAAGAAATGCTTCTTAAAAAACAGTTTACTTACTTAAAAATTGTTTAACAGAGGGGTGCTTACTCTTTTTCTAGACTATATGTTATTGATTTCTGTCAGAAATATACTGCTGGACTAAACCACTGGTCTTAATTTTGTCGTATTTAAATATGAATGGTGAACAAAAGAAATCTTTGTATTTGTCAGTAGTAAGAAAAGTGCTCTGAGGGACAAATTTGCCTCTTTGTAGCTGACCCGAACACAAAATTCAAGATCTCTTCTCTGCTACTATGTAACTTAAGCAGTGATTTTTAATGAGGAAATTGTTTAGCCTTTGCATTATTGCTTTGTATTACTTTAAGTGGAGATTTCTCATTTATATCATTAAAATGGCCGTGGTTTTGTTCTAAATTTTGGACTAAAGGTTACATTTAAAAAAGAAACAAACAGTGAAACCTCCAAAGGCAACCATGACTTCATATAAAAGCATTAAAGCCCTCAAAAAATTGAAGTCCTTTTAAAAATGATGGCATTTTTAGCAATGGCAGGGTGTTGCACTTGACCTCCAGACCCTGTAGAGCTGCTGGCAGTGTCCTCCAGTCGTTGGTGGCAAGTGATGCTGCTGCACACTGTGCCTGCTCTAAATTTTGGTAGTACCTGTCTCGCAAGCCCTGCGTTTCTCAGCTGCCTCCTTTGCGTACAGCAATGTTACTACATGCTAACAATCAACAGTGCCTAATTAGCTCCTTTTACTTTGAAGTAAGGTCCTTTTTAGCTTGGACTGACACTCTTAATTGTGACTCTCTTGAGCTCTGTTTTTAAAAATGTTTGCACACATCAATCATTCGATTTGAGTCGCTTATTCTTACCATGTTTAAATACTAATTTGTGTATTTGGATTATGGGGTTTGTTTTTTTCCTTAGACCCTGTGCCATAGTTGTCCCTGACATTGAAGTGATCTCAAAAATTACGTTGGTTGCTGAAGGGTTTATTTATGCATGTCTGTTAGCCAGGAAGTTTATTACCTTGTATACTCTCTGCAGGGAGCTGCTTTCTAAACAGGTGAGGGTCTCTTTGGGCTTCTGGGTTTGGTACGTGTTGATTAACACATACTCCATACCGGTGTGGCTGGACATTGTATAATAATAGGGGGGTTTATGTATATACTCTTATCTTTTATTTTGAAGGCACTTTAAATCACATGTCCGTCCTTATTAAATTGTCAGATATGAATTTAGAAAAAAGTGCCCTTTCCTCTGATCTTGGGACATTTGTAATGCGTTCATTTTGCATTAAATATTTGTATATCACTGCTTCATACCTGGGATGACTGAACTACGTTGCACTGTCATGCAATACCTATATTAGAAATGTAACTCTCTTTTGGAGAAAAGAAAAACCTTATAGCAGAGTAGGAATTATTCTGAAAAACAAATAACATTCTGCTTGAATGAATGCTTCTTTAAACTTTCCCCAGTAAACACAGTGGAGGACTGTTTGAAAAATGGAAATAAAGCATTGCTAAATAATTTAATTATTATACTAGAAAGAATTCATATTCAGAATAATTATCTTAAAAATCTACAACTTGTAAAACTTGGAAGGTTTATCGTTTCTTCCCTGTATGTATGCTGTTTACTCATTTCCAACTGTGTAATTTTTCACAAGACATTCTTAATATTCAGTTTTGTTAGTAGAATAAGAACTTGGAGAACCCTTCAACCTCAAGCCATAAACTTTAGCAAGCAGGGCCATTATGAAAGCAAAAGCAACTTCATTTTCATGCCTGCATAATTTCAAAATTATCTCTAAATATCCCAAAGTTCTCCTGACACATTCTTGCAATGTTTCTAGAGATAATGAATTTGAATGTTGAATATCTTAAGACAGCAATATTGCCTGCTTTACTAGAACAGGGATTCCTCAACTCTAGCGAGTACTTTGTCCTGGAGTAATTTTCTGAATTCAGAAAAATGACTTGTACAACTGTTTCCCATTTTAATATTAATAATAATATTAATAATGCTTGAATCAAAACCTGGAATGTTGTTGTTCATTTATTATTTTTATCTTATTTGTTTTACTTTTAATGGAAATGGGAGAAATCAAATCTCTTTGACTAAAATTCTGGGCTGCTGCAGAAAACATACAGCAGTTCAGAGAGCTCTGAAAATATTGGTCCAGTGTTGGGTCTTTTAGGGCTCTCAATATACCTTTGGGGGCACTAGGATCCTAGCCTATGAAAACTGCTTCAGAACAGGGTTGTCAGGGCTTTCATTGCATATGCCATGAGGAAGTGACTTCTGGTCCTGCCATGCCATGGCAAATAGCTTGGATGTCTTAAAGTCCTTGTACACCGGACAATCCACACAGCAGGCTGCTGTAAAGATGCATAGCTTGCTCTTTTACAACCCATCATTCAGCAAACCAACAAAAAATTGGGGGGGGGGGGGGGGGGCT